AAGAACTAGATGAATCAAATGAATACAAAAACAACACTAGAGAGGTGAGATAGAGCTCCAAAAGGTGTATTATCGAGATTGAGGATCCCGTCAATGTTGGCTCCTATATATACTACAAGCTAGGAAACTTCTCAAGTAGCTTCCACAAACTAGGAAACTTCTCAAGTAGCTTCCACAAACTAGGAAGCTTCTCAAGCAGCTTCCACGAGCTTGAAAACTTCTCAAGTAGCTTCTACAAACTACAAAACTTCTCTAGAACCTTCTAGAATCTTCTTCAACTTCCTAGTGTATGTCCTTGACACTTAGAGGCTATATAGACACATATTTGACTTTATTCATGTTTGTGTTTGATTGATAGATTATAAACTTGACCAATATGTTAGTTATATTAGTATTATTTTATTGAAGTCTAAATAAAATTTTAGTCAAAATTAATAATTTAAATATTAGTTATTGAATTTTTAATCTGCTATAGGATTTTATAGGAGTTTGTTTAAGATTTAGGATTTGATTAAGGATTAATTAAGATTGATTTAGAATCTAAGATTTGATTAAAATTTACTTAAGATTTGATTAGGATTTAAGATTTTTCTAAGATTTGATTAGAATTGAACTAGGATTTAGGATTTAGTTAGGATTGATCTAAGATTTAGGATTTGATTAAGATTCATTAGAATTCAATTAGGATTTTAATTAGGATTGAATTAAGATTTTAATTAGGATTTTACTTAGGATTTTATTAAGATTTGATCTAAAATTTGAATAAGATTTATTAAGATTTCAATTAGGATTAAATTAGAATTTTTTTGAGATTTATTTAGAATTTATTTTTAATATTTATTTTTAATATTTATAAAGGCTTATTTTTTATATTTTTATTATCTTTTTTTGAGATTAATTTATAATTTCTTTATATTTCTTTTTAATTTAATTGGATTGATTAAAGTTTGATTAAGATTATTAAAAATTACTTAAAGTTTACTTAAGACTTTATTAGACTTAGTAGGATTGTTGTTGCATTTCTACTTATCTTTTACAGCTAAATACCTAATGCATTCTGAAGCAAGAATATACGTAATATGACAACATATTGCATGAATTGGTAGCTTGTGATGTAAGCTAATAATGTGGCAATGGTGTGATTTTACCTTCCTATGGTTTTGATATTGACTTCAAAATTTTTTAAACTACCAAAAAAAATTCTATTTCTATTTATATATTTTATAGCACTTGAGTCAAGGTACGAATTAGAATCATCTTCTTGAATATATAATGCAAATATAGCTCTTTTAAAAATATCTTCTTGATAAAAAAAGATCCATATTATTAGTAGATATATTAGCTGGTGGGATAAGCCTCAAGAATCTTCTTCTTACATAAGATTAGCAAATCTAGATTTTCCTTGATTTTAGAATTTATTGCATCTATATGCTTCTAATTGAATATATCTACAAGCCCCTGTAGATATATCCTTTCTCAATGATTATGCTTTTTATAATAATTATACAAATTAGAGTCAAATGAACTCATTGCATAATTTAGTGGTCATTCCAAGAAGCTTATTAAATTTTGCATAGGTTGATTTGGCCTATTAGTTCAAGAATAGAGTGCTTCATTTGAACCATATTTGGTTTCTTTTGTCTTAGATTTCATTGCTTATTTTTTTTCTTCAAACATAAAGTTGGTCTACAATTTATTGAATAACTATTACTTACCTATGCTTATATAGTATTACAAAAAGTAGTCATAGATTTCTAGTATGTTCCTGATTATTATCTAAACCAAGTCTATATCTAGAAGAGTAATATCAATAAATAGGAGTTGAAATAATATATTTTTGAATTTATTGAAGTATAAATCAAAACCAATTTTTTTAGTTATAATAATAAGCAAGATCTTTTTCTTCAAATAATATTTTTGGCTATCTATATTGATTTCATAAGTCTCCTTGAAAAAATCCTAAAGGCTTTTGGAACCATAGAAAGTAGTTAGGTTATCCATTAGATCTAATCTCATAAAGTAAAACAAAATGTTAAGCATTGTTTCCTTTTGTTCTTCATAGTCCAACTCTTGAGCTTTCTTGTTACCTTTTTGATGGTTCCAAGACCCTCTATAATTGTTCATTTTTCACTAGTAATATAGTACTTCCAAATGCTGTACTTAAAAAAACTAGCAATAAGTTTGAGTTCATCAAGAATTGAACTATTCTTATGCATGTTTGAAAAAAAACTAACAATAACTAAAGAGAAATATGATTTGAGAAAGATTCAGGAATTCTATGGTGAGATGCTAATACATATATACAAGATAATCAGAAAGAGAACGACGTCAAAAAGCTGGAGCTCAAACTAAGAATACTACAACCACACAGGCTTTGATACCATGTAGATATAGAACTACCAACTACGGTATTGATCAGAAGAGAGTACAAAGAAGAGCATTGTTTGTCTTATACATGTACCAACTCCGGGTTATGCTGTTGCAACATAGTAGAAGTAAAAATGAATAGATCAAGGTGATGGTAACTTAGTTAACATTGACAGGCAGAACATCAAGAATGTGATCTATGATTCTGGAGACAAACATAACAAACAGTACCTAGATCTGAAGATAATCCTTTCTATTATCGCAATGCATGGAGTCCTCTTGAATCGTCCAGAATTCCGAGAGGCTTTTTTTAACGCTGCAAGATAGACAAGCTCTCTTGATGAGTTTCGGTTAAACAGATACACTTTGAGTTATCCTTCAACGGTAACAAACTTCTGTGGCAGTTGATATTCCATGAACGAACTCGAGCCTCTTAGCATCAATGGATCAAATGAACAGTTATTGGTTGAACCTGTAAACTCTTCATATTTTGATGTGTAGTAAATTTACCTTCAGCTAATTGGAACACCATTGTACGCCAGCAGAAAACCCCAAAAAAGTACTACATTATCTTCTTACTCAGTGATGAGGCGCTCACAACGAACTGGCCCTATGCTCTGTTTTCTGTCCCTTTCATTCTCCACATTTTCGCTGCAATTCGCGCATGGGGGAAATCGCTGCGCCGTCGCTACATGAGCATGAACGAAGAGGAGTAGGTCGAACTCGAACCGGGCGTGGTTGCATCATTTCAGTTTCAGTTCGTAGCTCTACAAGCTGGACAATTGACATCAATTGTGCTAAGTAGGTAAGCATGCTGTAATGCGTGAGCGTTTCCCTTAGATTGACCAAGTATTCCTTCTGGATATAAGTCAACAGCCATAGTCAAGGTTCTTGCACAATTTTGAAACCCCCAGTCACTTACTTTCTTTGCAATCGAAGCGCTTCTAAGAAGCACTCTTAGCTAGAGTCTGAGATATACTAGAGAAGAGCAGGACGTATTTGTGGTATTTGTCGGAAAGAAGATGGCAGCTACTATACAAGATGTTGCTCTGCTGCTCGTTCTCGTCGTGAGCCACATATGTCTGCAAACAGCCGCCGACTCCACCATCCAAAATGCAGCCTATACACCTATATTGCTCAACGGTCGTCCTCTTTATGTAGGCCAAATTCTTACAATCGTAGTTGCGGAAGGCAAGAGTCCAACGACGATGAATGTAACATATATCAGAAACGTAACCGGCATTCGAATCAGAAACGGTAGAGAATATTTTGTAATTGACAATCAAAATGGGAGCACTGGCTTCATAAGGGGGCGGCAGGTGAGGTCCCTCGACTTGGTGGAAGGCAAGAAAATCGAGAGTGCTTTTTGAGCTGAGGGTGGACCTTTGATCTACAACTTCCTCCATTAAGTTATTCATGGCTCATCCATCCTCAGACCTGCATCAATTGTGAACGTATCATTCCCATTATGTCGCAAGCTCGTAGTCAGATTCTTGTTTCGATTACAGAACATTACGGGACTACAGCCCTTGACAAGATTTTTATTGAACTGAGTAGCTGACACTCACAAGCTGCGATTGCGATGAGTGAAGACTCAGTGATTACTTTACCGAGTGCGCAGAGAAATCTACACTTGTAGCAAACAGGGATTTAAATTCTGTATTCATATTTATAAACATTGAATGCAGGTTTTCATTTCATGTGGCCAATTGATTCGGTCTACAACATAATTCGTACAGTCACATCGTTTAGGGTTTATCAGAAACACTAATTGCATCCACTACGGTGTAAATTCTACATAGATTATGAACCCCAGCATGAATGTTCAGTAAATATCTGGCTACTGAGAAAGGACACTGTACAGACGCTCTCCGGAAAAGTCGTCAGGTAATTACGGAGAGGAGAGGGAATGACTATTTGCCGCAATGGTTTTCATCAACTGAAGAATGGAACTTATCTGGCCCTACATACGAAACGAAACGATTCTTAGACAATGCCAGCAACGTGGTCACAGCTAAGATCTCGCCGAAACGGTCCGTTTGTAATGCCGATAGCTGGATTGGTGTGTGAGCTTTAAATCAAGCCTGTCGTAGGTTGGTAAGTGAATTTTATTTAAAATCTCATTGCGCGGGAAATTGCTAATGTTCCGGAGCAGCCTACTTATGATACATTGGCACAATATGCCCAAAGCATAGAGGAAAAATTCAAACAAAAACACACAATATAGCTAGTCAAATTATTCCTCGTTTAGTCTCATCATGCAGACGGTCTTTTGTACACAACTAGTACGCGATTAGTGTAATCTGAAAATCTGTAAACAAAACAACTCATATTTATGAACCTTCCTAACTGAATCCTACTTTGTCCCGAGTAATATGACGAAGCTTCTCCAGGGTTGCAAGTCTATGCACATACTCAAACTCCTTGGACCTATTCATGCTTGCTAAACAGTACGAAGATTCTACAAATAACATCAGTTAGTAGTTCCGCACCTGCTTTTTAATGAACTCGATTTTTTTCCTTCATTGCACATCTTGGTATTGTTTATCTCAGACACCATCATTGAGTTTCAGATTTTCACTTTTCAAAACAACAGTTTCACCAAGACGAAAGTGTAGGCAACCACACATTGCTTTACGAAAATAGACTCCTCGTTATCCAAGCTCATCCCTCCAGCCTTGTTCCATAATAATACCTCACAAATGTGAAGATAGAAATGCTTACGACAGACGAGGGAACTCCCTGTACAACCCACCTTCTTAGTGGGATACTATGGTCTACCAAATACGTAGCAGCGAAGAGATTACGGACAACCCTTATGATGATAGAAAAGACTGCCCAATCCTAGCATAGAAAAAGAATGTACAAACAAAATCCTGAAGAGCGCAGGCTTCGAAACTTCGTATATGTCGAACCTTGGACCCAATAAAAACTAACCTAGCTGATCACTGGCCAGAATTTACTAGCGATGGGCTCCGCAACTGGCGAGTGAAAAAACCTCCAGCTGTGCGAGCGGGAATAAATGGATTCAAATCTGTCCCTTCTCGTTGATGCATTCAGAATCACTCTTGGCTAAGATTACATTGAAATTGGGAAGACTTCTGAATCTAGGACACCTTGCGGAGTGCCAACAAACCAAACTGTTCGAATCTCACAATTCTTTCCGTAGAATTTAGGCAATTCCAGCAGGGGACACATCTATGTCTGTTTTTGAGGACGTTCCCGTGGTGCCATTCAATACTGTGACATTGCCGTCACCATCCACATCAATGATAGCCGAGTCCCCCTCCTTGATTTCTCCAGAGAGCATGCGCTCTGCCATACTGTCTTCCAATAGCCTCATAATTGCTCGCCGCAGCGGCCGGGCACCATAGCTAGGACTGTAGCCTTCTTCAACAACACGATCCCTAAACCTCTCAGTCACCTGCAGGGGAAATTCACATGTTAGAATGACCATATACCTGGTAAAGATTAGAATTTGTTTGAAATATGAGTTACCACTCCACCAGGCAAAAAGCTCACAGCAGATATCTATACCAAAAATCACAATTTTATTTTTCATGAATATTCGCGTACCTGTAAATCGATCTCTTTCTTTTTCAGACGCTCAAAGACTTCCTTTAACATAATGTCGGCGATCTCCTTAACTTCCAATTTGGTCAATTGCCTGAAGACGATAATCTCATCAAGTCTGTTCAAAAACTCAGGTCTGAAGTATTGTTTCAGCTCCTCATTAACAAGGCTTTTAATGCGGTTGTAGCTGGAATCCTTCTCACCGTAGTCTAACTGGAAACCAATACCACCGCCACCTTTCTCGATAACACTACTCCCTACATTTGAAGTCATAATTAGAAGAGTGTTCTTAAAATCTACAGTCCGTCCTTTGCTGTCGGTCAGGCGTCCGTCTTCCAAAATCTGAAGCATCATGTTGAAAACATCAGGATGTGCCTTCTCAATCTCATCAAAAAGGACCACGGTGTAGGGCCTTCTTCGTACGGCCTCTGTCAGTTGGCCTCCTTCACTGTAACCGACGTATCCTGGTGGAGAACCGATAAGTTTGGAGACGGTGTGTCTTTCCATAAATTCGGACATATCAAGTCTGACCATAGCCTCCTCAGAACCGAAATAGTAGGACGCAAGGCTTTTGGCAAGCTCCGATTTACCAACTCCAGTAGGACCAGAGAAGATAAAACTGGCTATGGGACGATTGGGATTCTTAAGTCCAACACGTGCTCTGCGAATTGCACGACTAATGGCCTTCACGGCTTCATCCTGGCCAATGACGCGATTATGAAGGGTATCCTCCATCTTTAACAGACGATCAGACTCATCACTTGAGACCTTCTCTACAGGAATACCTGTCCACGCAGACACAATTTGCTGAATGTCAGCTTCTTCAACAGTAGGACCAACATCACCAGTCTCACTCTCAGCCTTAACCTTCTCTTTATCCTTCTCAATGAAAGCTGAAATTTGGGCCTTCAACTCCATCTCGCGATCCCTCAGTTCTCCGGCCTGCAAAGGAACATGAAATTCATTTGTTAAGAAGACAAGTAGAGAGCCCGTGATTCAAGAAATACAGCTGTCAAATTGATCAGAGAAATGTAGATGACAACCTTAAATAAAAAGATTTCAAAAAACTCAATCTACAGACTTGCTCTAGTGTACAAACCTTCTCGAAATCCTGTCCACGGACAGCTTCATTTTTCTCCTTCGTAACGGCACGCAACTCCTTATCAAGCTCCTTTGCCTCTTCCGGAAGCTGATAAGGACGTAAAACGTTGAGATTCCATCAATATGTAGAGCAAAGCACTAGCAGATGTAGATAAGAGAAGAAATTTAAGGTGCTTATAGGTTTGGAATTATCAGTATGGCAAACAAGGAATCACAAAACAAGCACGACTTAGGTCAATAGTCTCACGAAATACCTGAGCATGTTTCAGCCTAACTTTAGAACCTGCCTCATCGATTAAGTCTATAGCTTTGTCAGGTAAAAACCGATCACTGCGAAAATGCAGCGCCCAAGAATAAGAAAATAAACGCATGGAACCATGTATTGCAGACACAAATATCGCAGTAAAATACTCCGCCAGCGAACTAATACAGGTAACAATGTTGTGAAGCAGCACGACTTCCTTTCACTAACTGCAAATATTACCTTCATGATACACATGTTCACGAAGCTCTAAAGAATACGCTTGAAATTAAAACCCAGAAATATCAGAGCACACCTGATATATTGGTAAGAGAGCTGAGCTGCTGCAATCAAAGCTTCATCTGTGTAACGCAATTTATGATGAATCTCGTATCTCTCCCTTAAACCTCGGAGGATCTCAATGGTTTCCTCAACGGTAGGCTCTGGAACCAACACAGGCTGGAAACGACGTTCTAATGCAGGATCTTTCTCGATGTGCTTTCTATACTCATCAAGCGTAGTTGCTCCAATGCACTGAAAACATACCCAGGTCAAGCACACGCAAATTAGTATCAGACGGAGAAAAAGCCGAGAACTAAGTCAATAAATGTCTCCAATCATATCCTCAAACCACCGGTGTGATTCACAAGTGTGTGCGAATGCTAACATGATAAAGCGACGCGTGTCTAATTCAATTTATTATTTACGAAATTTCACCTGTAATTCACCACGAGCCAAAGCTGGCTTCAAGATGTTGGCAGCGTCGATAGCACCCTCAGCGGCACCAGCACCTATAAGTGTGTGCACTTCATCGATTACGAGAATGATATCGTCTGCCTGTTTGATTTCTTCCATCAGTTTCTTCAGCCTCTCCTCAAATTCTCCTCTGTACTTCGTTCCGGCAACCAGCAACCCCATGTCCAGGGTAACAACGTTCTTGCCCTCAATTGTCTCAGGCACATCCCCAGATGCAATCCTCTGAGCCAGACCTTCGGCAACAGCAGTTTTTCCAACCCCAGGCTCTCCAATAAGACATGGGTTATTTTTGGTTCTACGGCCAAGGATTTGAGTTACTCGCTCTATCTGTGAAATCCTCCCAACGACTGGGTCCAGCTTTCCCTGCAGCATAAAAATGAAGTAAATTAAATTTAAGTCAAATTAAATCAGTTTCAGAAAAGATCAAAACATTCCAGTTTGAAGTATGCATGTAAAGATTTAAGCATGCGTGAAATTTCTGCTTAAAGACGACAGAAGTGACGATAGATGTTGCTGCGGATTTTGCAACTATCAACACCTCTGCTTCAATACTAAAACACGTCTTTCGATTATCTCTTGCAGGAGCAATACCGCGTCAATACACAATGTGTACCTCCTCAGCGAGTTTGGTCAAATTCGTTCCATACTCCTCTAGGGTGGGCATCTTGTTCCCGCTGCTGCCACTGCCAGATCTGACACCAACAGCCTCTGTATTCTCGCCAACCATTCGAATCACCTGTAATTATCACAAGACTTGTTAAGCAATCGAACTGCCATGCGCACCAAAAATCAACCTCATCAGTGCGTAATAGTTCATGCGTGAGGTAATTTTCACCTCATGAGGGTAGTGAGATGTTCAACCTGAGTACGAATATTGCTGGGGTCAGCGCCAAGATTCTCAAGAACTCGGGCGGCCACACCTTCTCCCTCTCGTAGCAACCCCAGAAGCAAATGCTCTGTACCAATGTAATTATGACCTGCCGAAAAGGATCAAGGGTCTTAGAGGTTTAGTGAATTACAGGGAACCTTAATTGCAACAGCGCAGCACACCTCTATTGCTAGACCCTCAAGTATCATCACTAGACAAAATCAGGTCCACAATCAAAAAAATAGGAGACATACCAAGTTGCCTAGCTTCCTCTAATGAGAGCTCGAGCACTCGTTTGGCCCTGGGCGTAAAGGGAATCTCAACAGCCACGAAGCCGCTCCCCCGACCAATGATCTTCTCCACTTCCACACGAGCTTCTTTAAGGTTCACTCCCATGGACTTCAACACTTTGGCAGCAATACCAGTACCCTCACCGATGAGACCAAGCAAGATTTGCTCAGTACCAACAAAATTGTGCCCGAGACGTCTGGCCTCCTCCTGCGACAACATGATGACCTTAATAGCCTTCTCAGTGAAACGCTCAAACATAGCCGTGGTCACAGCCTTCGATGGTTGGCATTGGTTCAAAACTTGAGTAGAATTCGCGACAACAGACTTGAAGTCCTTTCCTTGTTTCACAATCAAAGAGTCAATCACAGACGCTTTGCGCATCCCCGAAAAGGACTGGAACGGACCGATTGTCGAGCTCACAGACTTCGAATGCATGTTCCGCCTTCCCAACGAAGCTTTCGCAGCCGCTCGTCTCCAACTCTTCGCACCGCCATTGAGCTGGCCAACATTTAGATTCGCCCCGACGGACGGGAGCGTCAACGAGTGCGCCAGTGACGACATTTTGATCCCTAGCTCTCTCTCTCTCTCTCTCTCTCTCTCTCTCAATGCACGGTCTAAACTCGATGATCGAAACAAAAATTAATAAAAACAAGACACTCCTCAAAACCTGCTCGAAATTCTAACGCAGAGAAGCAATCCTTCTTTTTTATCTCTAAACCCTACTATCTCCAAACCCGGCACCGAACCACACGAAGCTGTAAGAGACAACCAGCAGCCAGCTGCAAACGAGAACAATGCCTGAGGCAGGCCTTACATAGCCCTCCTGCAAATTCCTCCTCCTCCTCCTCCTTGGATCGGCGAAGAAGCAGTGGGAGACTGAGGCAGCGATGGAACGGACAATCGGATAAAGGTAATACGAGGTAGAGCCCCTTCGAGGAGGAAGACCAAGGGCATTGACGAACTGAATCCGAACTGAATCCGAACTGAATCCGAACTGAAAAGGGGATAAGGACCCTCTCCGAGCATCAAGGTGGACCCACGGTCTTCGGTCACCGTTGGATGAGGATTGGTTTCATTCGTTGGCTACTCTGTATCGATGGATGCGTGCGTGCGCGGCCTCGGGGTCCGTTACTTTTGTGGATTATGAATTGTATTTTAATAATAAAGAAAAGTGGGAATGTAAGTGATACACGAACATAGTAGAGAAAGCGACCAAGGGAATCGCCGAAAAAATTAAATAACGGGTGATAGAGAAATATTTATGTGAACTTTGGTAAGGAAAACCAAAGAGTTGAAGGGGCGACTCTTGTAAAACCAAAATAAATTTTAGGTGTGAAGGAACAGTTTTTTTGTACAAATATTATTCAGAGCATGGTGGTACAATACAATTTTAAAAAGCATACAATTGATCTCTAAAATAAAATTTCGAAATTTTCCTTAATTTTAGTTTCATATTTCATCTGTGATTAAAAAAATTTATTGAAATTTACTACTTATATTTATTTTTCAAGAGTTTTGGTTGTCATGTATAAAAAAAAGTAGAAAAATTTTTTTTTTTGAAAATTCATAGAATACATTATTATTTTTCGTAATAAAAGTGTATTAGAATATTTAATTGTATGTTGTGTAAATAATTCATTGTGTGTGTGTCTATATAAATGTATATATATATATATATATATACATATAATAAAGAAAATGGTGTTTCGAAGTGTGTATTCATCTAAAGTGTTGTTCATCTTTTCATGCATTCATTTATTTTTGAATTAATAAACTTTCATCAAATTTATTACTCAAATTTTTTCTCATTTGAATATCTAAATAAGAAAGAAAATTGATAGATATCCAACATGTCAGTCTGAAAATAAAAGCCACACTCCATGGGTTTTAATAGTATTGTATATCATCCACTCTACAAGAGGCAAATGGTACCCACATGTTCTCAATTATATAGAACTTTTACTGTACCTGCATTAACAATTAAAAATATATGGTTTTGACTTATTGTCTTTACTGAATTTATAGATTAATAACTGCTCATTATTATATAAACAAAAAATAAAAATAAAAATTGTGAAAGTTGCAAAAGATATTAAAAAAAAAAAAAAAAAAAAGAAAAAGAAAAAGAAGAAGAAGATAAACACACACACACACACATCTATATATATATATATATATAGTGAAATGTTAATCTTTAACATCAGTTATAGCTTTTATATATACATACACACATACATGACATGAACATTAAAGAGTGTAGTAATACTTGATAAAAAGATCATGGTAAGAAAAGAAAAAGAAAAAAGAAAAAAAATCATATCCTAATTAAAGCTCCATATGTAAACCAAAATTCATGTGCATGAATGCTTGGATTACTTGGCATCTGTTTTTTAAGATTTTTTACTGTATTTCTTTACAAAGATTAAAATAAAATTCCAATTATTTATATTTGGACATGAAATACAGAACAAATAAATGGATTATTTGATGCACACATTTTGTCATATCAACCAGCGTCGATTATGCAACTTCAAAAGTAACAGTAAATGAATATTATTGTGGAAAATATTCTTCAAATATTGGAAATGAGAAGGCATATTTGTTGAATGAAAATCATACCAAATACATAATTCTGAAATACTGATTTTATAATTTATATGTTTTTAGCTTGAACCAAAATATTATAATCTTGAAGAAAACCGGTTAAAAAATCAATTAGCATTATATGAAGAAAATTTTAAACTAATTTCCATGTTCACAGTAGGATTCTCAACATCCTCAGAACAGTAAACCATCTAACATTTTTCATAGATTTCTAATTACAGAAGACTATTTGTTTTGTTAAATCTGTTTTTTAATCCTAAATACTCCACAATTATAATGTAAAAATAAATCACCAATAGAATACACATATGAAAATTTCGTTAATAAATTATAAAAAAATAAAAATACAGCTAAAAGCGAATCAATTCAATAAGATACATTAAAACCAGTAAAAAGTCTGATATAAAATTTAGTAAAAATTCTCAAAAAAATATAAAATTGAAAAATAATTTTCTTCTAATAAATTGTGATACTACTTGAAATAAGTTGGAATTTTCTGATATTTAAATTTATATAAAAAAAAATGTAAAATCATTTAACCTAACTGAAATTTTTATTTTGTATAATATGTATTATTTAAAAATAAAAAATAAAAGCAAACAAACAAACAACAAAAAAAACAACAACAACGACATGGAATTGTATGATTTGTAAACATATTATTTATACATGAATTCAATCTGTGTAGAATTAATTAAATTCAAAAACATTATGCCACATGATTGGATATTTTTCAACAAGCAATTCTGAATGATAATGATATTTTAGTGTAGTGTTAGAATAAAGCACTCTGAATAGTATAATATTTCTTCATCGCCACACAATTTTAGACATTTCAGTCCAAGTGGTGATCAAATTATACCATAGAAGTAGAACAATTAATTCTTTTTACAAGGTGTCTTCTTCTATTTGAATCAAAGTTCGATTTTCAATCAATTGATTGATTTTTGTATATTATATATATATATATATATATATATATACGTGTGTTTGTGTGTGTGTATTTCTTGTATGTTCTCTTTTGTTAGAAACATTTTTTAAGTAAATATTTTTTTGATCACATTCTACACATTCTTTTTAAAGAAGATATTGTAGGAATGTGATTTATACAATTTTTTATGGATATTAAAGATTTAATTTGTATTCCATGTGTTTCTTCCTCTACCTAATTTTGGGGTTTAACTAATGATAATCAGGATCGCAGTCAAATAGTTAAAATAACTTCATAGAATGTGATACTAGAAATTCAATTAAGATACTTTAAATTACAAATTAAAAAATTACTATAGATAAACTAATATTAAAATTTAATATTTAATATAAGACCAAAGCTAGTATGGCATGGCCGTTAGGGCTGTGTGGATAGGTGCTGGTACCCTGGAATGGGAAGATCGTACCCGGGACACGGGAACATATTGGATCTGATACCCTGGACGGGGTAACATATGGAATCTGGTACCCGGGGCAGGGCGTGTTGGGGAGCTCTGGGGCGAGGTTAAATAGGTGGTGGTGAGTGCTTGGGATTGAGTGGGAGCCCGAGCAGGAAGGATTAGCAAGAGGGGTTGTGAAGGTTTTCGACGTGGGCGATCCGCGGGGGGCCGGATCGTCGCTGAAGAAGGGCACTTTTGACGTGAATATTGCGTGGGAGCTGTTGCGCCAGGATGTGCTGTATCTGGATTGGAATGCCCGGCAAAACGTAAACGCAATCGTCAATGGTCACGATAAGGTCGGATTCCTGTTGCACTTGGTGGGTTCTTCAATTTGTGTAGTCTTTAGCGATGGATTCAATTGGGACCTTCTTGCGTCCTGCCTAGACGATCACACCAGCGCCTCCTCTTTTGCGAATAGGAATGTGTTAGGGTACACTGAGTTGGAACAATGGCCTTGCAGCAGGTCGTTGAAGTGCTGAACCCTCTCTTGTGAGAGACATCAAGTCTGTGGAAACTCTTCGCTGGACTGCAGGAGGAGGAACTTTCCCAAAGCTCATGCCCAGGTGCGAGTCAGCATTCTAGATCTGCTGCTGTGTATTAGTATCATTGATACACATTTTACACCTCAATCTAAAAGCGTTATCGTTACACTTGATACGAAGTAGACAAGATATGGCAACGGGGACCTAGCATTACATTCCAGCCATGGAACCCTCTCCATTGTGAAGTCGAAGTTGTTTATCAAGGATATCCTGGAATGCAAGGGTCCTTCAAGCATACCCTAGTCTGTTGATTAGTGGTCAAAGTAACCAACCGTCCTTCGTTATATGTAAAAAACCAAAAAAAATACATGGAATATTTATACTAGTGTTTACAAATCATCTAAAACCAACTTTGAGTTTTGGGTAAAAATTCTTCTCAAATTATAAATTTATCTTAAAATATCTAAAATCATAAATTCTCTCAATGATATTATGTATACCTTGGTAGTTTTAGGGGATTGTTAAATTGACCCAAGCATTTACTAAATCGACTCACTTCTCCTACCTATCATCAACAAATTCTCTGCTTGATCCACATTGATAAAAAAAACCAATGATGATGGGTGGGTTGATCTAATTAATACATGGATAAATTTAACAATTTCGTAATTTTGTTATTTTTAATGAATATTTTAAGAATTTACAAGTCAATATAAAGAATCTACATTGCATCATCAATGTTACATCTATATAATAATAAATTGACATAAAAATGTTTATATCTTATTAAAACCATTTTATTTATTTATTTATTAAAGTGTTAATCTCATCTAATATGTTATATTTAATAATGTATTTTTACATCTTTTATGCATGATTTCTTGATTCATATTTTTTACCTTTTAAAATATATTATAATTGATTAATACAGAAAATAAATATGTGTATTTTATTATTTTATTATTTATTTATAATATTATTTTCAAAATATTCATGTAAAGAGAATAAACATTATATTGGCTTGATAGATTAGGATATGAAAGTATTTAATTTTTAAAAAAATATTTAAATATAAAATTAATTTATAATATAATAAATTAATTATTAAAAAAATTCTTAAAAATCTTCATGTAAAAACAACTGATATATCATCATTCAAATTTTATTTTTTAAAATTTATTCTAGTTAAATTTAACGAATTTATCTATTCTATATTTCATCCTATTTCTCAAGAATCTTTCAAATACTACTAGTTGATAAGTTTACAAAGACCTAACATTACATTATGTTAAGAATATTTTTAACTAATACATAGGTAACCTCTGCCCCCTCATTGCTTCACTAACAATACACCACTTCTATAAGTTTTTTGAACAAGTTGGACACTAATGAGGTTAAAAGGTATCAAAACATGATACACAATACATAACAACAATCTACAACACATGAAGGTTAGCAACATAAAAGCAAATTAAAGCAAACAATATATTCTATGAAAGAGAAGTGTCTATCCAGTAGAATTGCTATGTGGATACTTCAATTAATTCATTTCTTTATTTAGCTTTATGATGCTGATGTTCATGTGTTGTAGGCTGCTGTTTTTGAGTTGTTTTGATACCTTTCAACCTCATTAGTATTTAACTTGCTGAAAAAGTTGTAGAAGTGGTGTATTATTGGTATAACATGGGAGGGAAGGAGGGGAGAATGTCCATGCATTACAAAGGAGATATCTACTTAATAGTTTAAATTTTAATATTTAATTTTAATGCTTTAAATTAAAGATAAAGCATTAAATGGAAAAAAATATAATTAGTTTAAGATATGATTAATTCATAAAAAATTAAATTTATTATTAATAATCTTTTAATATTATTTCTTATTAAAATTAAAATTCAAAGATTTTGATTAATTGAAAATACTCTTAAGGTCATTAGAATAAAAACAAGTTGAAAATAAAAAATAAACATATATTAGAAATTAATACCTTATATAAAATTTCATATATAATATATAATTATCATAAAAAAGAAGTATATATAATTTCTAAAAATTCTAATTTGATATTACTTTATTGCAAGATTACACATCTTTATTTTCTTAGTAATTTATATATATATATTTTAAAATGATGTTGTCTTTTTTTCTATAAATATAGTACAAAAGTAAGTCATAACAAAATTGATTCTATAACCATTATGTTGATTTTAATTTCTATATGTTAGTCATTTTTTATGATAAATTGTATTGTCACTATTATATATATATATATATATATATATTCCAATAATTATTGAGATAATATGAATAAGTTGGAAGTAGATTAAAGTAAATAAATTTGATAATATCTTATAAATATGATTTTGACTTTATACATGTTTGTGTTCAATTAATAAGTTAGAAACTTGGCCAACAAGTTAGCCATGTGTTGTATGTATTGATAGTTTGTGGTACAAACTAATTATGTGGTACACATATAAAAAATATGCTTTGCAAGTTAAAATATATGTCTTGCAAGTTGGATACATATTAAAGGTCATATAAAACATCACCATGTAGCTTCTAATTAGGTAGTATATATAGAGGCAAGAATGAAGTCTTCTTTACTCTTGTCAACACCTTTTTAATCTTTAGTCTTGTTTCAAGACTTTATAGTCTTCTTGTCTTTGGCAATAGTCAATATAATTTAATATTATACCATTTTTGAATCTTCTTAGAATTTATTGGAACCTTCTAGAATCTTTTAGAATCTTATAGAATCTACAAGAACCTTCTTAGAACCTTTTAGAATCTAGTAGAATCTTCTTGAACCTTCTTCAATTGTATATCTGTGACATCACGTCATTTTTTTAGCTTCGAGGTCTTTGAAAAGTAATGTTGTTCCAAGTAAGTATATGCACAAGAAATTAAAGATCTATTGTATAGTGTCTGCTATATATTTCAGTTATTTTTTGTAAGACAAATGATTTATAGGCCCCTATGGCCATCAATAGTGCCCCAAGCCTTTTACTTGTGACCAAGCATGAACTTCAGTATCTTCATTATAGAATTGTCTTGTAAACACTTCTTCTGGACATCCTTCATAGGCAGATTCTATTTCAAAGACAATTACTACCAACCTATTATTGGATATTCTTTGACATCTTCATGGTTTAAGTAGTTCTTCATCTCAAGGTCATCTCCGCGAGCTACTCAGTTGAGATGGTATGACCAGTAAGGTGTCTATCGCTTGACTATCCATATCAAATAAAATAGATAAGACCAAAAGAATATAAATAGGCTATGGTTGTGATCTCAAATTGTTAATTTATACTATTCTAAACATTTGAAAAAATTACTTCTTTAGAGGCTGCCTCCTTCTTTTCTTTATGAGGCCAAAAACTAAGAATCTTCATAGTGAAGCCATCTCATCAAGTTATTGTTCTTCATTTTGCTACTTTTGATCTGGATAGGTATTATTGATGGAACTTTTGAACCTTCATTTGTACATTTATAAGGTTGCCAGTTGGTTCCCAAGTGCAATTGTTGATATCATATTCATACCAATGGACCAGATATTTAAGCCTTCCATGTTTTATTCTTAAATCTAATACCTCTTCTACCTCAAATTCAACATGACCATTGATTTCAACCATAGAAGGTGGTGATTGTCTTTGATCTGGTATGTTTGATTCTTTATACGTTTTCAAAAATGAAATATAAAAGATTGGATGAATCTTCATGGATGAAGGTAATTCCAAGCAATAAGTTATATTATTGATTTGTTTTTGAATCACAAATTGTTTCAACCTTCGGTAGTCCAACTTATCACATGGCTTGTTGGTTTTTATATTGCACTAAAGAAGCTATATTTTGTCACTAACTTGGAATGATAGATGTTCCTTACTCAATTCATCTGCCACTATCTTATAATATTGTTGAGGCCTTTCTACGTGAGTCTTCATGGTTGCTTGAAGTTTGGCCATTTTTGTAACAAACTCCTTTATTATTGGATTTGTCGACTTTAAAAGTTCTATCATATCCAACTTTGGATGATGACCATAGTTTGAGTGTAATGGCATTTATTGTATAGATGCATGGATTGTGTTATTATATGCAAACTCCACCAATGACAAGTAGGAAGTTCAGTTGTCTTGTCGATAATTGATAGTGTACCTCAAATATTACTCAAGAATTTGATTGACCTGCTTTATTTGGCCATCAGTTTGAGGGTGGAAGATAGAAGAAAGGTTGATGTTAACCTTAAGAATCTTGAAGAGTGCCTTCTAAAACCTTGATACAAATTGTGGCCTACAATCCGACACAATATCATTTGGCAACTCGTAGTAATGATAGACATTGTCAATAAAGAATTACCATCTCTTCACTACTAATTAACTTCTTACAAGGTATAAAATGTGTCATATTGATTAATCAATCAACAACTACAAAGATAGTATCAAATGAGCTTGATAGTGAAAGATCTATAATAAAATCTATGGAGATAGATGACCATGGTTGTCTTAAAATAGAAAGGAGTTAAAAAAATCTATATAGTTGGTGTCAAAGGTTCTTTGACCTTGAACAAGTATGACATGATAGTATGAATTTCTTAATGTCCTTTTACATTTTAGGCCACCAAAAGTCTCTAGTAAAAAGTTCCAAGGTCTTATTGAATCCAAAATATCCGGTTGTAGGGAAGTCATGGCATATTTGAAGAATGTACAAGCAAGTTGGCCCTTCAGGAATGAACAAACATTCTTCAAAGAAGAAGAGGTTTTCTTCAATCTTGAATTTATAAGACTCTTTAGGAAGGTTGTTATCAAGATTCTTGATATTAAGAACAAGAAGGTCCTTGGTTGAAGCTTAACGAATTTGATCACGAAATGACAAATCCAAAAGCATTGATACATTAGTTGCTCAAAGATGAAATTGCTCAAGCTTTAATAAAGTTGTCCATTGTTGATTATATGTTGCCTTGCCTTTTTTTGGTTCAAGGTAGAAATGTCTTGATAATAAATCTGATAACTCTTATTGGCTCCTGAGTTGATACATGATGCAAAAGTCAAATTGTGATAAAGATATATTTCAACGTGCTTAGTGATAATTCAAGACTCGAGTTGATATGAAATATTTAAGATTCTTATAATCTATATATATAGTCACTTGATGATAGGCTCCTTGAAGAAAGTGGTGCCATTCTTGAAAAGAATCCAAAATATCAAATAACTCTTTATTGTAGATTTTGTAGTTGATTTTTGTCACCAAAAATTATTTTAGAATGAAATGCAATTGGATGAAGTTTGCCATCTTTTCAATATCGTGATAAGACTACTCTCAATATAAAATCTAAGGCATCGATCTCCATAAAGTAGGACTTATTGAAATCTAGATGTATCAAAATTGGGGCTATTATAAAAGCATCTTTTAAGCT